CAAGGCTGACAGTTTAAGAAGACCTGCCAGGGTAGATGTTCTCTCAGTTGGCTGAGCTRTGGCATTTTCATCACCAGGAAAAGTTCAGAATTTGCTTCAGACGAAAAGTGACTCTGAACTTTTTGAACTTTCAGACTACTGAGCTGAGCAGAGTGAAAYCAATTGTTGAGACATCATGCATGGATCTAAGGGACAGATGGGTCCCAACAATGCCAGTGAATCATGATAAGACATTTAGTCTGGTTTAAAAAAAAAAAAAGTATTTCTTTTTAACTATTGTTCCTGCTCTATTGTTTGTTCTGAGACTCACTTGCTTTTACCATTTATCAGTAGTGAATATACAAGATATTCTGTGAGAAACCTGAGACCACTTAAAAAGCAGCTGTAAGATGAGTTCAACCCACACTCAGAGAGCAGTGTTCTCCTTGAACCTGAAGATCCACACTGAAGGCAAGTTGGAAACCTTTTGGATCTKATGGCTCCTCAGAAGCTTTCACTGGTGTCCATTCAGCAGCACCTCTACTTTTAGAAAGCATTTTCTGTACAAAAAGAACACTAAAAGCAACTCAATGGTGAAATTAGAGGTCTACACAGATTACACTCCCGATGCAAAGGAATGGATTAGTTTAACTTTCAACTCCTGCTGCTTAATGTTGATTTAATATATTGTCTTGACTTTTAATAAGGTTATTGAAAGATAAAAGCATATAAGGAGCTGTGCCACAGATGCGACAGTCAGAACTTCATACGCAAAATAAAAAGAGACATTATAATAAAATGAAAATTGAATGTTGCTTGTATAAAATCTGGCTTTGTTTTGATGCATAAAAAAGCAAACACTGTTCCATACTGAGGTTTTCAAGAATGTCTTAAGTACACAATGCTTCTGATGCCACCCCAGTTGCCTATATATAGATCTGTCTTGTGTAAAGAATTTAAAAAGCATTAGAATGAAGAAATCAAAGAGACAATAAATTTTAAACCAATCTTATTGTCTGCAGCCCAAAGTGTTATTAAGATCAAAGTAGAGCAAACATCTGGCATTTGCCTTTCTGCAAAAATTAGATCAAATTACCTACCATAGGATTTAGATCCATTCAGTAAGTTCTTTCCATTGTACACATAGTTTTCTTTCTCCTTTATTTGCTAAATCTAACTTAACACCCAAATTCTAGCCTCTCCATTCATTTGAAGTTGAAACAAATTAACAACAAAAATGGAAATAATGTTCCTCATGAACATCTGTTTCCAAAAGAACATTCAAGGTCCTTCAGATCCTAAAGAGAGAAGTTCAGCATCTTTGCCATTAAGTGTAATTGTCCAGAAATAAACTCTATTGCGTACACAAAACCATGTTCCCATCCTTAAAAAATAAATTATTTATGACTACTCTTGTAACTAGTGTCGTTGTTGACTTTATTCCATATTAATCACTCCTAAAGTGTGTTGTTAAGAAACTTGGCACAGTGGCCAATACTTTTATGTACAATCTTATCCAATATACATTTTTTCAGACTTCTAAATATCTCTAATGCACACCTTGACTTTAACACATTTGTTCAGAGAGATAAATACATATAAATTTATGTTACATAATTTATGATAAATTTATGTTACATCTATATAGCATGATTTTTCAATTCTCTGTATAAAAGAATGCACTAATACAAAGCTAAGATTGAGAATATGTCRTTTCTCTTAAATACAGAAAGTAATGCATCCTTACACCTCAAAAAATGAATTTCAAAATTTGAATTAAAAGGAAAACAAAATTTAGGTCTGCAAAGTCATCATTATATGAATCAAAAATCTCAACAGTGCTCAGTAGTGATGCCATAAAAATTATAAAATTATGATTAATGAATTTGAGTATTCTGTCCCAAATGAGCTCTAAATTACACATTAATTCTTTCCAATTGCTTTATTGCCAGAAACGTTTTTGATATTACTAGGCAGAAAGGTAAGACATTGCTCTCAAATATTCTAGAGAGAGATAGAATTTTTTTTACCTTTGTTCTTTTGTGCTCTTGCAATATGAGCTGGAATATTACTTTTTTCCACAAGGCATTTAAAAAAAAAAAGAAAGAAATGCAAACGTAGTGAGGTCAAATTTTCTTTGCAGAACTTTTATTGTGATTCGGTGTAATTTTCCCATGTGGACCATTCCCAAGATATGGTATTTGAATCTGTATACAGCAAGGAGGAGTTATTACTTATCACAACCTAGAAGTCTGGGAGTTTTTAATGCAATTCCAAATAATCTCTTTTACATCAGTATAGCATTTGATTCTCATATCTTGCTCCTTAGTTATTCAAAAAAGGTGGATTATGAATTTTATTTTCAAAACCTTCAGAAAATAATAGGAAAGGGAGAAAGTGACAGTTAAAACTTCTGTACTCCTTTCCACCCAGACCCATGAAAGCCAGAGGAAGAATTAAGGCAGCCAGAAGCCGCACATTGTCAAAGGGCACCTTAAAGTCATCAGCTGCATTCCCAGGCAAGCAGTGCAGACAGCATTCAGATGTTTTTATGTAGATGCATTACAAGGTAGCATCAAAACTCTGCACTGGGATTCCTTGTGATACTTGTGCATTGCTGGGAATTTCTGGTTTCAGTCTCAGCTAATTTAAATTAAAAAAAAAAAAAGAAAAGAAAAGAAAAAAAAAAGTGTCTATAACTTTTTAGGGTTTTTGATGCCTTAAGGCCAAGATATACCAGTGACATCTCCATTGTTTTGCCTAAATCCAAATACACATTAAATTTTTCAGTCCCTTAAAATTTTAATGATGCAGCTCTCTCCTTTAGAAGCCTTTGGTTAGTACAACCATCCAGGCAAGCAGGACAAGTCAGAAAAAATTTTGGACATTCTTCTGCCAGTATTGAATGTTGTATTTCAGTAATCAATGAAGTGATTTCTATGGCAGGTTTGAGTTATTTGGAGTGAATAAGAGCTAAGTTTTTTTCACTTGGTTGTTCCCCTTCAGGAAACCTATTGGAACTAAAACCTGTAGGTTTACTCCTACAGAAAAGGAACATCAGTCCCTGGGGTACAATTCTAATTCTCTGGTTTAGGTGGGTTTTGTTTTGTTTTATTTGTTGGTTTGTTTGTTTGSRTTGGGTTTTTTATTTTGTTTTGGTGATGGGTTTTTCATTTGGTTTGGGGTTTTATTTTTTGTTTGCTTTGTTTATTTTTCATTCAGGAGAATGTAAATCAACAAGGTGAAGTTACCACATCATTTTTGCAAAGGCAACGTCYCTGTTCCCAACCAGGCACCGTTTGTGACAGGCAGCTGGAGCAGAGCCACATCTGTCCAGCTGTCCCAACTGTACCTGCTGTGCACAGCTGCTGCTCAGATGGGAGCACACGCTCGGCAAATCCAACATTCTCTTGGTGCCTCAGTGTCACAAGGCGGGTACGAATGAACGGCGCAGCACATGGATGACAGAGCACACTCAGAAACCCCCTACAGAGATCKAGGCTGCCTCACTGGGGACAGAGAAAAAGATAGTCTCCCTTCTGTCTGCATCCCTGAAAGCAAAGGTGTGTGAATTCTCTCTCACTTCTCTTCTTTTGATCAGTGTAACTAACTGTACATGGGAGGTATCTTCAATTGAAAGCTGGTATGAAGGACAAATATAATGAAATTAGATGCTAAAACATAAATAATAAKACCATGGTACTGTGGAGTACTGGAAAGTTAAGTCCAGGAGGTTTTTCTCTGGTTTAAATATTCAAATAAAGATATATATGCACAGCTTTTCAAGGAAACTTACTCTGCTCAGCTGTGCCCATGTCTCAGACCAGAAAAAGTCAATTACCTTCTACAAATAATAGTTATTAGCTTATTTTATTTTCTTTTCAGTAAGTTTTGGAAGCACAAAATAGCTAGAAGTGAAGGAAGACTAAACCAAAAAAYCTTTAAAAATCCCCAAACAAGCAGTGTGACTAGAATATTCAGCTTAATTATTGTGTCTAGGAAGAAAGAACACCCTGGATCTTACACATATGCAGCTTTTCAGACCTGGTCATGGGACATCTGACCTTCTTTCTCTGGTTGTCTGTGCGTGCCACAGAAAAGCACCGCATGCTGTTCCCGCCTGTAACTGTGCATGTGACTATGTCATTCATTTCTCTGACATAAAAGGTGTAATTCAGCACATGGCTCGGCCTGTGCCACTGCTCGAGGTTCCTGTGCAGGCAGAGACTGTCCCCAGCCCAGCCAGGGGGATGGCAGTCCCTGGCATCACAAGGGCAGCCAATGCCACCCCAGTGCACATGGCWGGGGTGCAGGGGGCTCTGCACTCGCTGACCTAGTCCAGCACACATCTCACAAGGTGACAGCTCAGAGAGATACAATTTACATCACTACTGCCTCTCTCCGCCCATGGAATGGAAAATTTGAAGACATCTGTTCTCTCTGGTTGCAGTCCTTCCTCAACCCTGGCCTTGCACATGTGGTGCCAGCAGGGACAAATCTTCCTGTGCTCTTCTCTAATTGTTTTTCATCTCCTCTGTCCCTATTTGCAGCTTGTAATATGCTATATTGTAAATGTTTTCCTTACTCTTACTTTCTAGAAGTGGGGCTGCACTGCTAGCTACACATTAAACTGAGATATGACGTTAGGTAGGCAGGCCAACTCCAACTCTACAACAATTCAAGGCTGATTTCTATTTTGAACTGTCACTACACRGTTTACAAGGGGAAAAGTGTGAGCAAAGATTGAGATTTTCCTTCTATAAATTGTGGAAGGGTGAGGGGGAAGTGACAGATCTCATTTAAAAACGTTATTGAAGTAGCTGTGTTGAATGATGGTGCCATTGCTTGTCTCTGTGTCTCATTGTCATAATGTAAACCCTTTCATAATTAGAAGAAACCACAGAAGTCAGGATAAAGTACAGCAGATCCAGAAAGAGCTGGAAACTTAAGGAAGAATAAAAACCAAACCGAAAACCACAAAAAAAACCAAAAAACAAACAACAATAGACACAGGCTGGAGAAGATATTTTATTTATTTGTTACTAGTAGTTAAAATGACGTACAAAATGCTGGGAAGAAAAAACTCCAATTCTATTCAGTTACAAAATAATTAAAACTTCATTTTAAACCAAGTTTTGCTTTGTGAGACCGAGCATGAAAATACTGCAGCCTTAGGTTATACAGTCCATTGTTTTTAGAATAAAGCAGACATTTAAATACATATTGTGGTTGATATTAAATATCTCATATAACTGTAAGTTAGCAGAACTTTCTTACTCTCAGGCAATAACTAGCAATTTATAAAAGTTCTTTGTATAAAATTTACATGGGGGGGGGAGAATCTGCCTCAAGGGGAGTTCCATCATGATCTATGCACAGGCAGTTTTAGAACATAAAGATTTGGATTACTTTTATCAATTTTCCTTTAGATATCTAGCCAAAACTTAAAGGAGTCAGTAATATTTGAAGCTTTGCTTAACAGCTGTTTAGGGACATAACAGTCACTATCAAAAAAAGGGGAATTTTGCTGTCAACTTTACATGAAGAAAACAATCATTCTTAAGGTGTTCTCATTTCATGAATAGAAACCCAAGCTAGTACAAAACTTCCAGCAATGACTGAAGTTGGCCCTTTTCCCTGGAAATAAAAATCAAACAAGTAATTTWAAGAAAAACATTCCCTGCCTATTATCAATGAAAGAGAATTTGTATTAAAAATAACATTAAATATCCATATCTTTCTGTTTAACTATTCACATTCCACACAGTGGAAACCTACCTCCTATAATTCCAGATTTTAAAACTGGATTTAAAATCCATGAAGAAATGTGTCAAACTGCAGAGTGAGAGTACACCGAATGAAATGCTTTTTAATAGTACCGATAAATGAGTTCAATCTCTTAATCTTACAAGCACAACCCTCGTAGCAGTGGATTTTACAGTAAAAATAGATTCGTTGCAGAAATGCAGGATATCACCAATAAATTTGTGATGCTATATAACAGGTGGGACAACTGATAAAATGAGGCCACACAGGATGCATCTGTGACGTGCCACTCAACAGATATCTTTCCTGTTGGGCATGTTATTGAGGGCAGAATTGTTTTCCTCAACATTCTATGGCAAGAAATTATGTCAAAATAATCACCTTGTGGCTGTGAGAGGCACCTGGTATGAAAAAGAACACACTCATGGTGGATGCTAGAGAATATTGCTGCTGAGTGGGGAAACTGAGTCCTGTACTCTCCAAGACTCATCACACAGTAAGTGTGGMCCTGACTCCCATCTCACTCCTGTCAGTGATGCCAAGGTTGGTTTCAGCTCTGGTACTGACTCTTGCACAGGAAGGTGCCTTTCCTTGACAGGACCAGCTCTCAAAGCCCCCCAGGCACAGCACAGGCACAGGCACCGAGGTGTGCAGCACTCTGTGAGCTCTTCAGCACCCACCTGGGAAGTGYCCTAGCAAAGGCAGCACCCAGGACACCCTCAGGCTTCCCATCGAGTGCTTGGCAAAGCAAGAGCAAAGTGCARGGAAGGGCTGCCTCTCTGGTCCAGTCCCGAGGACACACCTCAATAAACCAACTTCTTTTGTAGGACCTTCTRTGCTCTTGCCAAATTTTACAGCCCTGATCAAGTTTAAACTCCTAATCCTGAAGGAAAAAAAGACAAGATAACCTTACAGGTGAAAGTCATCAAGCTGTTGGAAGTAGTGTGTCCCCTTTTATGTGTTTCCCCCCAAATGAGAGGGKCAGTTAGCCCTAAGTTTTCAGGAAATTCTCTTTACTTACTCCAAATCCAGTTTAAATGCAAGTCTGTGGTAAAAGATATAAAAAGAGGATCACTGCTGGCAAAGTTCTGCATCTCTGTTTCAACAAACTGCATGCCTGTGGCAAAGCTAAAATAACAATAACAATTCAATGTTTACTAGTCATGAATGTCGTGTCTTTTGTCTCTTGTGTGGTTATTGCATTTGCAGTCACATGATGCTTGTTTTAATTTTTTCTCTGCTCTTTATGTACTAAATTACTGCCATTCTGTACTTGATCTTGGTTAGCAAGATTTTTGCACTGTGGTTATGTATGTGTGTGAAAAACACAAGGAGTTTGGATACACACAATGAAGTAGGCATACTCACTGCATGTATGTATAGATACCACTGCCTAAACGAAACTGCATATACATATATATGTAGATATGAAGAGTAACTGATAACAGAAATACGAGACATCAAATGGATCTAGTGGCACAAGAATGGGTTTTGTTTGGTTTGGAGAGCCATTAGAATTCGGAAGTATATTTAGAGCCTTGTATATAGTTTCTTTTTAATTTATGTAATATATGACTAGGTATATAAATTAAAGCAAAACATAAACAGAAGACAATATCTCTTCCTCTGTGTCCTCCTATTTCTGCATCTTTCCTTTTCCTACTCTCTTTTGTATTCTCCCTGTCTACTTGCTTTGCCCTTTTGCTTTCTAAGCTGCTGTAGATCTGTTTCCCATCCACCTATATTGACTTTTCAACACTCCCACATCCCCCCATTGTTCTCCAGGCATGGCTTTTGGATTACAGCTATTTTTTTGAAGAAGAGAGTTACAAACTCTTGACACGGCTTCTATTTTCAGTGATGGCTTTGCTACACTTTACATTGCTCTTTGTCTATTTCTTATATAAGAATAGATTCATGCTTTGAAATATATTGTCCTCTCACTTTGATGTTTCACGTAGTACAGTAAAAGCAAATAGCAAAAGGTGAGCATTCGCAAAAGCCACAGCTCCACTTTCCCAGCAAGCAGCAAAAATGTGAATATGCACTAGGAAACCTAATTCATGACTGTCGGTAAGTAAGGTATTTTCAATGTTTCACACCCCTGTTAATTTTTTTGTTGTTGTAGTGAACGTGTATTTGCTTGTCCATATCCATTTTCTCCCTTACACACACACGCATGCACTTTCCTTCCATGAATTTTTTCTTTCTTTTTGGGGGGTTTAACTTGCCTTAGGTAATACACTAGGTCCCTTTCAATTTTACCCAGCCTTGAAGGTATGCTAGTTCATGCCACTCACTCTCACACTGGCAGTGATGGCATTCAGTCAGAGTGCAATTGCTATTTTTTCTCAGTTTAGTCCAAGTCAATGGATATACACCGGCACTCCTTAACTCGGGTGATTCTTTTCTTCTTTCTTGGGGGCTGAAGCTCAGGGCAATTGAGTGTAACAGTCATGGTGGTGAATTTCTTGGGCTTGCAGAAGGAGCAAGACTGGAAGGAGCCTTCTTCTTTACGGACATGCCTGGGGATGTAGAAGGAATTGCACTGGCCATAGCAGAACCTGTTGATAATGGTACGACTGTTGCAGCCTTCTTCATGGATAGTTTGTTTGAGGGGTTGAGTTTTACACCAATCCCGCTTCAAGTACTTGCGCTCAGTGATGTGCAACGCCTCCTGACTGGACTCCAGCACCTCTTCAGCYGGCATGGAGGTGCCTTTTCCTCGCTCTCGATGCCTGGAGCCCGACTGCTGCTGTGTCTGCATTTGCTCTGAATCATTGGGCTGATCCTTGACAGGAGGAGGGATAGCACCTTGAGATCCACGATTCCTCTTTCTCCCTTCGGCTGTTGGTAGCAGAAATCCCATCAGAAGAAACAAGGCACCGATGGCATACAGTGTGCGGACCATCCTGTATGAAGGAATTTGACAAAATAAAGCACAAAGTTATGGATTTCAGGTATCAACAGAAGACAGATATGCAGTAAATTTTCAGTTCCATAAAAGATATCTGTGCACATACACACTTATAAAAAATAAGCGTTCAAGCCTGTACCAGCTGGAAAGCTGTTTCTAAATCACCAAGTGATAAAAGCTTTCAGAGTKACTGAAAGTCAGAGGCTAAAGTAAGCCCAAACAGAATTTTGGTTTTTGTATCCTCCATCTTTTTCCAGCTCTTTTTTTTATGGGCATTGCCCTAATTCTCATTCCCTTTCTATAGCTCACTGACACATAGGAAGATTGTTCCTGACTTACAAGAAGAACAAATTTTACATCACATAAGGATTCATTTATATGACACAGTTATCTACAATACCAGAGGACTAAAGTCTTTGTCTCAGCAGACCTAGTCTAGCTTTGTGTTCCTGAATCAGACTCAGAAAGTTTGTACAGCTTCTCGTGTAATAYACATCCAGTATACAATGTATATGTAGTATGCACCTGTTGCCAGTTTTACAGCATCCCAACCTMTGTCACACTGCACCTCTGAAGGGGTCAAATGCATCTGAGTGTAATCATGCTTAAGCTGAGAGAGGCACGAAAGTCAGACAACTAACATGAAAGAACATTTAGGTACAGTTAAAAAAGATGCGTCTATAATGTCAAATTATGTCTGCTTGCACATTATTCTGAATCCTTGATAGAAGTAATACAGATGCAATCACAGCACTAAGAATTTTTTAGATCCCTGAATTATATTCCTTTTACACAGAATGATATTGTAGGAGGGCAGCAGGATTTTGCACATGACATTAAATATCATAATAGAGTTTGTGCACATGAAAGAAGACCACCTCAAGTAGTGCAGTTAAGTGGAGACGACCAGGTCCTTCGAAGCTGCATGGCTGCTCCAAACCTAATTATTGCATAGGGAAAGCCTTTCTTTCCTGTCTTATTCCACCRTTTCTGCTGTTTCTCAAAGCTCTGAGTTCTCGAGGCTGTTCAGTCAGCTAATAACACCAGCCAGCATGGAAGAAATTCATCAGCCACACACTTCCCCATTCCAAAACTACTATGGTCTCTGAGTTTTTCTGAAAGGAACTATGTGGTAGCAAGATAGATGAGGGAATAAGTCTCTGAAGAACCCTCCCCAGGTAAGCTTGGAACAAAGCACCAGAAATGAGGAACTCCTCAAAAAAAAAAACCTGTAAAACACTAMAATTGTGAAGAGGCACAGGCATTAAAAAGGGGAAGAACTGTGAAAAAAACACTGAAGAAGTGTTGTCTACCTGCTTGGAGTGCTGCAGTTGTATCCTTYATTTGACTTGCTTTATCAGTATGGAAAAAATTAAGTGTTTGAATTGAAGAGTCCTGCTTATGTTACTACCCAAGAAACATGTGAAACCAAGGGCACTGTCCGGGACGGCTTTATCCGCTCTGCCTGAGACCACACAACTAGGCAGGAAAGCAGCCAAATGCCAATGTTGTGAGGGCCACCTAGAGACTCAGCAGAGGCTCAGGGTAAGTACCATTTGCTATAAAAGATAGCTGCTAATTTCTCAGTTAGTAGGTCTTTCCCGTTACATGGAGAAAATAAATGTTATGCTGTTGAAAAAGCCTTTCTGATCAAATGGAACGGGAGAGGAATTCCTGAAGCAGAAAAATAGCATAGCATATATTCAAGGAGTTGCTTGTGGATCTAATATTTTTTATGTTTGTCAACGGATTGTTAGAGCACCTAGAGTTCCTGATATGTCATAAATGTATGCATTTTTTTCAGTAATTTGTGTTTTTGTACCAGCATGTCCTGTGTTTGGCTGAAGTTTCAGGCTTTCAGCAAGGGACTCTGTTGCTGTCTCCAACTGACAATTTGGAAGGGCTGCTTATAGTATCTAAGTAAAATATGGTATGGAACATGCAACTTTAATAACCTTAAGGCTTTGACCTAGGAAAAAGAAGTTGCTAATTCCAATTAAAGAATAATGCAGCATAATTTCAAGTGTCAGTGTGGATTTCACATGTGCTAATTTTTCCTCATCTCTATTACAACCTGAATGTTATTTAAACATGTTTAATTTTAATTCTGTCTTTAAAATAATTTTTAAAATAATTACAAACTGTTGCTTATTCCCTCAAGAGATTGGAATGATTTCTTCCAAAGCTATTCCTATTTCTCTGGCAACGGTCTAGTCACCGGTATTTTAATATGCGCTTTATTTACTCAACATGGTGCCAGAGTCTTTAAAGAAAAAAAAAAAAGAAGTAATTACATGAAGTGAAAAGTAAATTGCTAGTTTGTAAGCAGTCCCAGAAAACTTCAGGTGTTTATTTTATTTAGTGTCCCACAACTTGGATGAGGTTCCACCAACATGCATATTCCTGGGCTGCTTTTATTTTTAAAACTGATTACCTCCACATTGTATGCTTTCTTCCCCCACAGAGCTGCAATCAATGACACAGCAAGGTCATGAAAATGAGGTGTACTTTGGGATGGGAATTTGGGGGAAATTTCATGGTAATATTTACTGTTGTAAGGTCTGTGTCCCAGATTTGTGCAATTTTATTAAGCACGTGCTTATCCCTAAGGAAATGCAAGCATGTGTTTCAATGTAATCCTAAACTGGGAGGAAGGTAATTTTTCACTGGGTTGGTTTCCAGCCTTAAAGGTGGAACCTGCATTTTATGCTCATAAAAGAAATTGTGATTCAAATGAAAATTAGCCACTCTGCAGAAACATTTGTTATAGTAACCACTGAAACACACACCTAAAAGTAAAAGTAATCCAGTAATTTAGGGATAAATACAGATTAAATGCAGAAGGGGCTATGTGAACTTCACGATGACCACAGCAACTAAGCAGGATCCTTTTTTAGTAACAACTTAATAAACATTAATTAAAAAATAAGATTTTTTTTTAAAGATGCAGAATACAAAGGAAAATGAGGAGTTATGCCTCAGGAAGTAATGGTGCCAAAATGCAATGTGGGCACCCTGCACCACCTCTGGGCCCAGGGCAGTGGATTTGCTCATGAGAGAAGATGACACCTTTGCTTACAGTAGGAAGTGAAGTGGTTCATCTATCTGTGAGTTGTGGATGTTTCCTTATCAGGGTTTTTTATTACTGAAAGAAATAGAACACAGAAGAGGACATGAGAAGAAGTAACTAAAATCAGTGTTACCATATCTAAAATTTTACTGAAGAGAAATCTCTYCTGAACTAAATGCTACTTCTCCTCAATACAGTCATAATTCTGTAGAAGTAATAGCTCTAGAGCTGTGAGAATCAGGCTGTAAAACCTTATATTTCATACTTCTGCAAAATTTTTATTACTTTATACTATTCTGTCAGTTACACTGGCATAATCAGAAATACTTTTCAGGATTCCTCTCAGAATCCTTTGAAGAAATAACCAAATCMTTTGACCATAACCAAAATTATCAATTCCCTCTTACTTCATTCAGATCCAGAGAGATAAGATAGAATTAATATTTATTTTTTAAAAGTAACACAATACTCCAAAACCCTATTCTTTCCATATTTCACTGCTGAATTCCACTTTTCATCATCTGTAAGCTCTTAGTCCTAAAGCCAAAAGAAGTTTTATTGCTGACTTCAAACAGAAGCAGAATTGGGACCTAACATTCATATCACTTCATATGTGGTTTATCTAGATCCTGAGATCTCATCATCTAAAACAGATTAAGAAAATTGTGGATTAACACTAGCAACCATTGACAGAGAAGTGTAAATGCTTTTAAGTTTACTATTTCATACAATWAAGCTGTATTTTTTTTTATTTATACGTTTTATGCTATGAATTAAGGATCTCCACATGTGAGTTCATAGACAGAATTTCCCTATGAGTTCACAGGAAGAGTCAGACAGTTACTACTGAAATTTTTAGCACAAGGCAACTTGTTTAAAAGATCTGGATGGAAACCTGGTTGAAATATACAGAAAAATTGTCAAAGACCTTAACAGGCCCATAACTTCATCTGTGAACCATTTTTACTAGGAAAATATTATGATGAACCATGGACTCCTGCACTTCACAGAAAACATGAAAAATAATCTGAAGAACTAAAAAAAGAATGTACTTGGACTTCAAATACGAGCCAAAGAAAGACACAAAACACAGTCCCTTTGACTACTGCGAAAATAGAAGTGGTTTATGTCCCAAAGGATCAGAATAATTTTATGCCTTGCTTATTATATATGAATTACAGAAACAGTCTTATGTAATGTTTTCATAGTTCATAGATCTGTATTTTTAAATATATTAAAAAAAAAGGCATGGTAATGGCAGTTCCCAAAGAACTGTATTTTTCTCAAATCAAGACAGCAAAACTAACATATCTGTTTTGTAGAATTTGGATACATTTACATTTCAGAAAAATTGTTCTTGGGAGTTTTAGAGATGGGGTTTTTTGAGACATAGTGAGTGCAGGCAGCAATTAAAAAAAAAAAAAAAAAAAAAAAAAAAAAAAAAAAAAAACAAAAACAAAAAAAGACCCTGAAACCTTGAAATTTCTTCCTTTAAGTAAGTCTTTTTCCGCAGGACATCCTATGGTACTCCAGGGAAGCTGAACATCATCGTAGGCATGGCTGGTACCAAACCCGAATCAGCCTTGCCTGAAGACGCCCACGCAGCCTGACAGCTCCCWGCTTCCCAGCGCTACACTCCCTTCAGACTCATTTGCCCACGGATCCCTAAAACAAGGGAAAAGCTTTGCTCATGTGCATGCGGGCTGAAAAGGGAAGAGTCTTTCAGCAGAAGCTACGCACTTCTAGGTAGCACTGCCGAGAGAAAAAATAAATACTTTAGCACCGCTTGGCACTGAATGCTAAAGAGAAGTTGAGAGCTACGGACATCGGTGCCTTTTACAACTTACACACAAACCGAGTGCACKCTAGTTGGTTATTCCCGTGCTTGTGAGGCGCAGCGAGGAGCGGGGYAGGAGCGGGGCAGAAGCGAAGCGCTGCTCCAGCTCACAGGTCACCTCTCTGGGCTCAGAGGCAGCTGAGGCTGGGGGAGGCTACTGACACTGCACCCAAAAATCGCCACTCACAAAACGCGTGACCGAACCCCGCGTCCTGTCAGCAGCAGGGAGAGCCAAACGCACGTCGGTGCCTCAGAGCCCCCATCTCTGCAAGAGGAGGTTTCCCCAGTGCTCTATCTCAGCCCCAATGGCCGAAACGAGCTTCCCTTGGGATTCTTTCACCGAGAGGAGCCACGAGCGGGACACCACGAGCGGGACACCACGAGCGAGGCCGCAGCTGACAGCCGGGAGGGACACTGCGGCTCAGAACAGCGGGCCGGGGACTGCGCACTGCCCAGCGCAGCACGGCCACCGCGGCGCGACACCGGGCAGGACRGMYCMGMCMCCGGGCAGGACRGSYCMGMCMCCRGGCAGGACRGMYCMGMCMCCGGGCAGGACGGRCCCGACACCGGACGGGGTAAGACGGCGCTGTCGCTGCGTTCAGCCTGGCTGCGCCGCAGGGGTCGCCGGCGGCCGTGAGGGCGGAGGGGCCGCAGGCTTGGTTTGGCTTGGCATGGCCGGGAGCGGCTCGGCCCCGCTCCCCGCGGACGCTCCTCGCGGCGGCTGGCGACACCGACAGGCTCTTCCCAGGGGGCATGGCCGCCGTCTAGGTTTATCCAAAGGAGCACGAACTCTCTGAAGTGATTGCCAAGCCTCTGGAGAAGAGTATTGAAACGGACGGGGCAAGCAAGCAGGCGTCCTCCAGGAGGGAGAAGCCTGCGCCAAGTGGCGCCGCCGGCCCGGGGGCCACACGGACGGGCGCGCTGCGGGGAGCTCACTGCGGCCTGGCCGAGTGGCTGTCACCGCGGGTAAGGGGAGCGGTGGCCCACGGACCCACGGAGCCGTCGGGGCGACAAAGCTGCCATAGCTCCGAGTCAGGTGAGAGGGCAGGGCGGAGAGGCGGCGGAGGTCGCCGAGCGCAGCGGTGGAGCCGCGTCCCGTCCGGTTCGGTCGCGCCCGAGGCCCCGCAGCGCCCGACCCCACTGGCACACACCGAGTCTCCCCGCCGGCTCCTGAGGTACCAAGAGCACGCTCCTCCGAGGAGCAGAGGTTTGCAAAGGCGGGCCAGGACAAAGTCGGGGTTGAGCGGCCTCGTAGGGGCAGCTCCGCGGGACGGGACGGGATGAGATGGGATGGGGCTGGYACCTGGGTATCTGCCCCCGCCCCGCTCCGTGCATAGGCCGGGCCGGGATTTTTCCGTGTCTCGGGTGGGCGCTGAATCCAATTTGTCGGGAGTGATGCTGTAGGCGGAGAAGAGAGGCAGAGCTAACGGGGCTTTTGCAGTCYCCGTGCTTGTGAGGGAAAAGAGATATAGCGGCACCCTTATCCCCGGCACTCCTGCGGAAAACTCGGTGCGACTTTGCCCCCTGCAAAACCGAGACGCCCCGGAGTTTTGCTAGACACCGGTGAATAAATCCTTCCCTTGCCCTTCCCTGAAGGTAGGACAGAAAGCTTAAMATTTTGTCTCCCACAGAGAGTGGCCGAAGTCCGCAGCTGCCGGACCCGTTCGCGCCCCGCTGCGCGCAGCGCGTCCCGGCTCACCTGCGCGGCGGCGGCTCCTCGGCGGAGCTCGGCTCGGCGGCGGCGGCTTTTCGGCGGGGCCTGGGGCTCTGCGGGGCTCTGCCCGCCGGGTCACTCGGCGGATCGGGTGGCGAGGGAGCCCGGAGCTGCCCGGGAGTCCATAGAGAGAGAGAGTCTCGGATCCTGCCTACAAATTGCAGCAGCGCCGAGCTGTCTCCCATTTAAATGTCTGCCAGCTGAGATCTGCTCTCCAAGCCCCTCCAGATCATTGGACAAGCGCCTCCAAAGACCGTGTTATCCGCCCCTTTTAACACTTCCATAAACTTCCACCAGGGAAAGCTTTCAGTCATCCAGATAAACACTCGACTACTTTCCTCTCTTCAGAGAATCGGTGCTAAAGGTCATCACCCCAAGGAATTGTTCCTGGAATGCACAGAAAATTCACATTTTCCATCCCCATTAAAGTATGACAGTTAAGAAGAATTAAATCCTACCCCCTCCCACCGCCTCCGCTGCCCTTCCGTGCACGCTGGGCGCTTCCCTGCCCATGAGCCCGCCGGGTGAGTGGGCCCGCTGCGGGGAGCCCCTGGCCGGCCTGCATYTGCGGCTCTTCCTCTTACAAATGGGCTTTCTGAGGTTCTGCCTGATGCCGGGACTTAGGCAGCTTTGCAAAAAAAAAAAAAACCCTCTGTGGATATGTCTGTACAGAGCGTGTTAAACCGCGGCTCCTGACTCGCAGCCCCGCGGTCATAGCTGTGTATCAGTGAGAGTTTGAGGTTGTTGGTTTTTTTTTTTTTTTTTTTTTTTTTTTTTTTTTTTTTTTTTGGGGGGGGGGGGGGAGGGGGGTGTTGTGGTTTATTTTATTTGTGGGTTTTGGGGTTTTTTTTTTCGTCCCGCAAGAGGCGAGACCCCTCGCGCGTCTTGTCACTAGGTCGCTTGGTGGGCGGGGGGCTCTTAAAGCCTCCCACGAGGGGCAGGGACGGAGCAGCGGAGCGGAGCGGCGCGTCCCGCCGGGGCTAAGAGCGGAGGCGGCTGGACCGCCCGGCCGTCGGGGCGCCGCGGGGCAGCGCAGCGCGGGGCAGAACCGCGCCGAGCCAGCCCCCACGGGCTCCCAGGGGTCGCTCGAAAATAGGCAAAAACCGGCTATGCGTTTTGGGGACCTAGCCCTTCCCAGCAGTGGCCGCGAACAACTCTCCGCGCTGCGGCTGCCCGAATCTCTAGAGAGCGTCGGGGTGGGGGCATCGAGGGGCAGAGTCCTGGTGGGCGGAGGGACCCCGCAGCTCCGTAGTGAAGCCGGCATTTCCTCCAGTGCTAGCCGGCCGCCCCGTCCCCCAAGCGCCCCAGTGCCGGCTCTCGTCTCTTGAGGATTTTTCGGCAGGGAGGCGCGCAATGCTACCCAGAGTCATTACGGGCAGGAGCAGCCTCTGAACCACGGGCTGACTTTTGGGCTTGCTAATTTAATGGAGACGTTTGTCAGCTGCCACTTGCAGCTGCGGGCATCACCCAGCAGAAAGCAAAGCCGAGGGGAGTCTGCCAGGGACRCGAGCGCTGCAGGTGGCACTGACAGGTCTGTGCTGGCTTTGCTTTTGGGCACAGGAGCTGCCCGTGGATCAGACCAGCCCTGCTCCTCGGTCACCAGCAGTCAGCACCCACCTTGGACCTCAGGCCCGGATCTCACCTGAGAAAGAGGTAGTTTTATTGTCCCTTGTTTTGCGGATGGGGAAGGTGAATTAAAATGAAAGGGTTTGTTACATTAGGGATGCCAGGGCTCAGCTCCGTGCCAAATTTCTGACTTTTCACAGTACTTAGCAGTAGCTTGCTCTTTGGTAAGACCAAAACCTGGCTTCCCTTAGTGCCTGAGTGGTGAGCAAGGTAGTGAATTAGGTCCATTACAATAACTTGCATACATTTAGCAAGAGCTTGTTAAAAAAAAGGGTCACTGCAGTCACAAAGCAAGTGTCCGTAGTGCAGTGGTAGGTGGCAGCATGAGTGAGAAAATGAGTTGGTGTGCAGGAGCCGCTGAAATTCAAATACAATTAACGGGGGAAGGATTACTGGTGAAGAATTACAGCACATGACATCTAGATAGGTAGAAAGAGAGGCCCGGGGAATTTAATATTTTTTTTTTTACTCATAGAAGTGCTATTATTTTTATTTTATGTGATAAGTTTTTAACTAACTGGGGTCTGTCCTTTATGAATCCAAAGAAAAATCACAATTCCCACCTCTCAGTAGGATGACAGACTTTATGCTCCTTTCCATTGTCTTCTCTTAAGCAGTTTTATTGATATGGAAGGGTCTACTGATGTATTTTCTGCTCTCTGTCTCTCTCTCACTCTGATTACCAGCCCCAGAGACTGGCTGAGGACCTGCTCTACGCTGTCCTCTTCCCAGGGCCGCAGTCCGACTCTTGAGTGGCACTAGAGGAAGTGTTTTCTGCGRTTTCTCTGAGCTCCTGTTGGTGCCCGATGATGGCCCTGCCACTGTGTGCACTTCGAGGCACTGCTGCAGGCAGGCTGCCTCTCTGCTGTATTTTTCTGGGATGTCATTTACATGCCACTCTGGCATTGCCTTTCCTAGATGATATTTCTGGGCAACAGTTGCAGAGCAGGTGTGTGCACTTAATGCCTTACTGCATTCAGGCATCTAGCCAGAGCTGGTGATCTGGAGTAGATCTCACTTGACCTAAAATGCACTAAGAAACACTTAGGAAGCAGGTCCTTGTGTGGAAGTTGTGTTCCCTCCTCAAGATCCATCTTTGTTTCTTGCAGTTGAATGACCTGTACCATATCTTCTCATATGGTTTCTTTCTCTTAGTTTAATCCACAGTATTCCAAGTATGAAGTAGCATCTGGGGTCAAGCAAGGCAAGTGTTCAGATTTCTTTGACAATTGGAAAGTAAAATTACTTCTGCAAGTATTTGCTTGCTCATTCACAAAAATACAAAAATAAATTTGGGTGTCAACAAGATAAATAATTGCAGCTGCATCTGGACTGAGTGAAGGTAGAAATAATAAGAAATAATTTTAAAAGGACATTAAAAATACATTTAATTTTATTTCTTTGAGACAGAGGGAAGTAGGGGAAAGATATCTTTTCCCCTGATTGTTCTTTCAGGTATCCRGAATAATTTCCAGCTTGGAAGATTTATTTCTGCTGGAATCTTTAACAAAACATTCCCTGGGTTTGCTCCAAAGCTTCAGCTCTGCTGGTTAAAAAGGTGCCCAGTGCTGAAATACTTCTTCCTCCTACCTTACCCCCACTTGAAATTCTGTTGATTCTCATCAGGGCTGCTAATTGGAGCTGGAGTACTGATGGGGAAATGTTTAATTATTTAGTATTAAAGAGGCCTACGGAAATCTGCATGTTTTTGTGGTATAGGTTTGAGATAAAGAGCTTTAATGCCATTGGATGGTAGTGTGTGTACGGTGAACCTGACTGATTTCTACTACCCACTTGCTGTTGTTTTGTTTGGCTTTTTTTTTATTTTTTTTTAAGTTCCTCTCCTATTTCTTGCTGGTATTCACTGTGTGAGCTCTTCTTTGTTTTAGTGGAACAGTAAGAATTGTGTAAGCTTAAAAGAAGTGCTGTACTTAATTCTTGCAGAAAACAATGGTATTGGTCTGAGCTCCTATCTGCTACTGCTAACTGTGAGCGCTGTTCAAAGTATCCTCACCGCCAGCACAGTTGGCACCTTGTTAAAAGCYTTTGCCGAGAAGCCAAAGACTCACAGGGCCCGGAGCCTCTTCTTGAGTGAATTGGAATAGTTTATAATGACTTCAGGGAGATGCAATGACCTATGACAGCTGAGAACCCTAATATATCTAGAAAGCCTATATCTCTCACACCTAGACATATTCTTCCCAGTCAGAAGTAAGGCAGGCTGTCCAACAGAGACAGGGCATGTCTGCTTTGCTTGGTGTTTCAAACTCTTCTGTTAAGGAGAGAAAGGAGCTTGGTTTGTCTTACCAACACAATAGTAACTTTTCTAATTGAGCTGTAACACATCTAGAACCAGTCTAGAAAGCATTGACTTCCACTGCAGTCTGCTGCTTGCCACCTGCCATCCTGGGGGCATTTAAAGCTTCCCGCTGGAGGTGTGAGGCTCTGAAGCTTGGCACAGTTGTTATCTATTAGTTGTTTGGTGTAACAAAAGATGTGTGCATTGCAGAGATGTCACATTTCAGAAATTAATTTTGTAGGAAATACCCTCTCTCCTTCAGAGATGAGGATGTCTTTACATTGTGTGATACTGTCGAGTTTCTGGGGATGTACACTGCTGTCTGCCTGACTTGATGGGCAAGATCAGCAGTATCTCAGAAGTGATTCATGACTTGGGGCATAAGCAAGATACTGGGTAGTGTGTGTTACGTGGGCCRTGCATGCAAATGTCCATCATTACATTCTTGCTGAGGTGTGTGAGCTTCTTTGCTATAAATGGGAAGAACAGTCCGTCTTTTGTCATTGTAAAGAATTGATACTCCAAGAGTCCAGTTTCCTGTGGATTTTAGATTATATCCAAATGTAATGGACAAGAATCTTTATCATAAACCAGCCAGGAAAAGGGGTTTTCACTTCTTATTTCAAACCTAAGTTGGCTAATAGCTGGGATAAGATGAGGGAGAGATGTGCACTTCGTTTTCAAGATAGTGTCATAACATACCAGGCCTGTGGTTCTTGTTCAGAATCTTGTTCAGAATGGTATTCTACTGTATATTCTATTGCAGATTATTATATTAAAAAACTCTGAAATATGAAAAATTTAATTAGCATTAAATTAGTGCTTCATTTCAAGGCTTATAAAGTAGTACCAGCAAAGGCTGAGGTAATTCTGAATTGAGTTAAATTTGTCATAAAATACACTAGAAAATCAAGCTTAAGACTATGCTTCACTTTGGCAAAATTCTATCTAATTAAAGAATTTTAATCTTTCTCTTATTTGAATTTTAGAATTAGTGTCCATATGATGGATGTTGGAAAATACTATACTTACTGGAAAAGCAACATTTTAGATTTATGTTGACAGAACATCAACATTTTAATGTATAGATTTCCATCAGCTGAATGAGAAAAATATTCATTAGGGGAAAGTGTTTATTTTGGGGCCAAGTTTTTTTTTTAATGAAGTATTTTAGTTGTTTTATTTTTCAGAATATTGCTTGATCTAGGAATAATTTGAAAATCTTCAGAAATAGGACATTTGAAATCAAAAGAATAAATGAGTTCAAGAGGAAAGCTTTAAGCATCTAA